AGAGAAAGAAAGAGAGAGAGAGAAAGAGAGAGAGAGAGAGAGAGAGAGAGAGAGAAGAAGAGAGAGAGAGAGAAGAAGAGAGAGAGGGAGAGAGAGAGAGAAGAAGAGAGAGAGAAGAAGAGAGAGAGAGAGAGAAGAAGAGAGAAGAAGAGAGAGAGAGAGAGAGAGGGAGAGAGACTAGAGTGTGAAATATAAAATAATTCCACATCTGGTAAAGAGTGAAAGAGAAGAGCGAATAAGAGTAAAAGGGAAGAGACAAAGAAAGGAGATACATTGAGTGTGAGAAGAAAGATAGAAGGGCAGAGACATCCAGAGGTGAGCAGCTGTGATACAAGGAGTCACAGGCATTGGGAGGGGGTCACAAGACTCTCAGCACTCTCTGGGATGGAGCAGTGAACACTGTGATTCCAGATAGAGAGAAGAGCTCAGCATTTCTCCCGCACAGATCAGGTGAGTCGTTTCTATTTTCCCTTCATTGATGCACCCCAATACTGTTCATATCATCCACTCATTTCCTTTTGTAGATGTTCCCTCTCCTTTCTAAGCATGACATGATATGGGGCTGCCATAGACAGTAGCGGGAGGTTAGACGTGTAGGCCAGCAGCTGGGTCCCTAAACATGAAAACTCACATGACATAATTAGCACCTACAGACATGCTACCAACACACCTCCGCATCAGTATATGAGCTATTCTGGGTAGGTTGCCTTGAGGCATTCAATCTTTGAAAGCTTGAGTTTGCCAATACGCCACCGTCTATGTGCCCGCCATCAGAGCTAAGTGGCTTCATTTGCAACTTTTCTAATAGCGATGTGTAGCACAGTAAAGCCTTCATAGAACTGAATGTATTCACAAGTCTCATTCCATCACATATCCCAAAAATAAGAGGATAATTCCTAATTTCAGTGCCGTGGGTGGAGTCATGCAAATCATTACTTTAAGCCCCATCAGCCAGATGAACCTCCAGAACCTCTGGTGTATTCTACCTCTATAGTCCAATATAGAGCCATTTATTCCACACGGCACACAGCTGTTTCAGGCTTTTTGGCCACCATCTGTGCAGTGTATGGGAACCATTGGCTTGTATGGAGGAAGGCTTGGGACCACCAAGACAGTATAACCATACAGGTGATGGCAAGATGGGACTAAAGGAATCGAAAAGACGTCTAATATGCACCGATTTGGTTGGAGGGCTTTTGGATTCCTTTAATCCCTTCTCACCATAACCTGTATGGTTAAACTTTTATTGATCTTTGGCCCTACAGTAGACACCACAAGATGCCCGATATTACTTTTGGACCAGAAAAGTCTTGTGCCCCTCTCTTTAGTTTCACTGGGACCCGCCTTTCCTTGACCTAATGGCTGAGCCATGACAACCACCATTCCATTGTCCATTATGATTGTCTTGGTGACCAGTAGGGCACTCTTAAAGGGACTCTATAGCTTTAAAGCTATTTCTGCCCCGCGATAGAAGGCAGCATGAGCTTACTTCTCTGGTGGACTGTTTCTCCTACCTCTTCTGGTGCAACCTCAGAAGACCTCTTCGGCATAAGACACTTCCATGAATGCCGGATGTCTGGGACCCTCACCGAACGTTGGTTTTATTCTCCGGCCTTCTACATCACTCAGCAGTGGAGAAATGGTCCACCAGGGAAGGAAGCATATGCTGCCTTCTATTGCAAGGCATAAATGGCTTTAAAACTATAGAGACCTGACAGGGTCCTTTGAAGAGGGCCCGAATGGTTACCAAGACGGTCATAATGGACAATGGGATGGTGGTTGTCATGGTTCAGCCATTAGGTCAAGGAAAGGCAGGTCCCAGTGAAACTAAAGAGAGGGGCACAATACTTTTCTGGTCCAAAAGTAATATCGGGCATCTTGTGGTGTCTACTGTAAGTAAAGCTTTGAAGGATCTTGTCCTACCCTTTCATAGAACATCATTATCTTAATGAGCAAAAATACATGATATCCACACTTTTCATAATTAGTAATTCCCCCTCTTGCCTTGCACCTGGTCTTGGGTTTGAATCACACCAAGGAGTGTTCCAAAGTCTGCCACAAAGCACAATGGTAGGTTAATTGGCTTCTTCTGGCCCCTGAGCTTACAGGCCTGGTAGCGTTCTACCCCTCAACACCCCATGAGTATTTCCTAGTCCATAGATTGTGTGGTGGTGGAGTTGGTCCTGGATCTGCAGAGTATGGAATGAGTCCGCCATATCATAGGCTGGGATGATTTAGGGATGGTCAGTGATGCATCAGTATGTAACTCCTGAAGTTTCATGTTTCAGGCGCATCCTCCTTCTGGTTGAACATGGCTTCCATTCTTGTGATACTCATCTGCTGCTTTGGTCCTTTCCAAGGTTTGTAGCATGAAGAAGTGGTCAGTGCAATGTGTGAGGGTACAGCAAATACAATGCATGGGGGTACAGCCGGTATGATTTGTGGGGGTACAGCTGGTATGATGTATGGGGCCAGAGCTGGTATGCTGTGTCAGTGTGCAGCTGACATAATGTGTGGGGGGTACAGTGGGTATGATGTGTGGGGTTGCAGTTGGTAAAATGTGTGGGGATATAGCGGGTATGATATGTAGAAATACAGCTGATATGATATATAGGGGTACAGTGGGTATAATTAGTGATGGTACAGCTTGTATATTGTGTGGGGGCACAGCTGGTAAAATATGTGGGGCTTACAGCTGGTTTGGTGTATGGGGGTACAGCTGGTACAATGTGTGGGGATTCAGCTGGTGTGATTTATAGGGGAACAGCAGGTATGATGTGTGGGGTTACAGCTGATTTATTCTATGAGATTATGATATTTTGGAGGTGCAGTTATTATGAAATATAGGGGTCCAGTGGGTATGATGCATGGGGGTACAGCTGGTATGGTGTGTGGGAGTACAGCTGGTATCATGTATGGGGGCACGGCTGATATGATGTGTGGGGGTACAGCTGGTGTGATATAGAAGAGTACAGCAAGGAATATAAGTGTATGATGGGTGGGGATACAGCTAGTATGAGATATAGGGGTACAGTGGGTATGATGGGTGGGGGTACAGCTAATATTAAATATACGGGTACAGTGGGTATGATGTGTGGGGGTGCAACTGCTGTGATATTTAGGGGAACAGCAATGAATATATAAGTGTACAGTGGGTATGATAGGTGAAGGTACAGCTAGTATGACAAATAGGGGTGCATGGGGTATAATGGGTAGGGGTACAGCTAGAATGAGATATAGGGGTACAGTTGGTATGATGGGTGGGGGTACAGCTAGTATGACATATAGGGGTGCATGGGGTATAATGGGTAGGGTAACAGCTAGAATGATATATAGGGGTACAGTTGGTATGATGGGTGGGGGTACAGCTAGTATGAAATATAGGGGTACAGTGGGTATGATGGGTGGGGGTACAGCTAGTATGAAATATAGGGGTACAGTGGGTATGATGGGTGGGGGTACAGCAAGTATGATCTGTGTGAGTACAGTAGGTACAAAGGCTTGCACCCTAAAAGGCAGAAAGTATCTAAATCAGTAGAGGATGAGACCCATAACTGGTATTTCCCCCCCAGGAGTCTCCGCCACACAGCAAGCATTCCGCATACAGCCCGACAATGGGACCGCAGTGCAGGGAAGCACACATGTGTTCATCTGTGAAGTAGAACATCCATCGGGCACGGTACAGTGGGTAAAAGATGGGCTTCTTCTGGGGCCCGACCGCAGGATACCCGGCTTCCCCCGTTACAGCATGACCGGAGACCCCAAAAAGGGTGAGATGGACAGTGTTGTTACTTTATATCTATACATTGTGTCTATTATATTATTTTATATAACATCTGATCTCTATTTCTAATATTCATTTTTTATGCATTCATCCCCCCCCCCTAGAATTGCATAACATCTTTCTTCCGCCACCATCCCTCTCTCTGCACCATATACTGCAGGATGGGTGCTGTGCAGCCCTTCTGCCAATTCATATTGTAGCTCTGCCCCCCTCTAGTGGATTGAAGCAGCACTGCACTGGTATATAGTCCTGGTCAGGTCTCAGATTAAACCACAGTCAAGTTTCTGGCCTTGCAGATCATTACAGAGAAGAGGAAAGCAGCATGGTGGTTTAACCCTTCCTGTGCCAATGTCTGCAAGCGATGGGAGAGATGGGCCACCAGACCAAAGGAAAATACAGCCAAGGGGCGTATTCATAGCCTCAGCAGACCATGCAACTGATATGGGGCCCCGAGGCTCATGGGGCAGCGGGGCTGCCTGGCTACCCAGTGAGTTATGAAGTTAGTAACAGCATACGGGAAATACATTTAGATGCAATGGATTCCTAAAAATCTTGGTAACCTGTAAAGGATTTGCTATGAAGTCGAGAATTTTATTCGGCATCAGTAGAAGAATTACCCCTAAAATGGAGATTAAACAGATCGGGGGGGGAGGGGGAGTGAGGCAGAAAAGCAGAACTCTGGCCTAGCCCTGCACATTCAAATCTTTACAGATCATTTTTAACGTGCAGCAAATACGTTTTAGAATAAGCCCCCCGAGAATAAGCTGCAGACACTGTGGAGGAGCAATTCATTTCCAAAGTTCACAAGAGAAGCAGCGAAGTCGGGTCTCAGCGCTCTGCTCCCTTTCTTTGCTCCTGCCCTGTGTTTACATTAGAGATTAAAAATGCTGGCAGGCTGCCAAGTCCCCGCTGGTAGGGAGGAGCAAAATGGGCTATTGGGATAAAATGGAAGTGGTTCAGCTTTAAACTTTGAGGATAATTCGCTCCGTATCGCCTGCAGCTACGGGGGTCAGTTAGACCGTCTTTTAAAGCTGCTGGTCAAGAATGTGTGAACCCCAAAATGTCCATATCCCGGCCACAGTTCTACATTATTATTTTGCTATGGGGCCCCATCAAACCCTGAAATGTAATTTTTTGAGAGAGCAGGTGGATCTGCGCTGGTCCTGTTGCCCACTCGCGTCCCCCCCCCAATCTCTGACTGTTTTCTTAGGCATAATGCAGTGCTGGTAATTGTGTATCAGATCTAATTTCCAGCTATAATTATATCTGCGTATCTACGAAACATAGGAACAGGTGGCTAGTGTACGATTAATTATTTCTAACGAGGCCGGCCTATTTACTCTTCCTTGCAGGGGAGTACAACCTACGCATCGAACGCTGCGACCTCTCTGACGACGGACAATACCACTGCCAGGTGGGGAGGTCAGAGGTCAGCCTTGGCATCGTCTCCATTACGGCTCTATTAAATGTATTGAGTAAGTGCCGCTAATTATGAGACGTGATCAATTCTGTAATATCTTAAAGGGCCACGCCACACACAAAAATGTGATTTCAGACTGGTAACTTACATAGTTACATAGTATTTGAGGTTGAATAAAGACATAAGTCCATCAAGTCCAACCTATTGCTGATGTAAATGTAATATTATTATTATTATTATACAGGATTTATATGGCGCCAACAGTTTGCGCAGCTCTTTACAATATAAGGAAGACATTACAGTTACAATACCATTCAAGACAAGATGGTAAGGAGGGCCCGGCCCCTGAGGGCTTACAATCTAAGAGGGAGGGGCCAGTGATACATGAGAAGCTAGCTGTGTGGGGATGAATGGTTGAGGTGGGATAGGCTCTCCTGAAGAGATTAGTCTTTAGGGATCACCTAAAGTCAGTCAGAGTGGGAGATAGACGGACAGGTTGGGGTAGAGAGTTCCAGAGGATGGGAGATACTCTAGAGAAGTCCTGGAGGCGAGCATGGGAGGAGTTGACAAGGGAGCTGGAAAGCAGGAGGTCTTGGGAGGAGCGGAGGGGACGGTTAGGGTGATACTTAGAGACGAGGTTTGAGATATAGCCGGGGGCGGAGTTGTGGATGGCTTTGTAAGTAGATATCTTTGGGTACTCTGGTTCAGTTCTCAGGTCCCGCCACCCATTATACTGTGGATATATGTAGAAGGAGGAGGGGAACACTCCTCCAAACTGGGTGGGAACAGAGACCGGAACCACCGTGAGATCCCAGAGCTGGAGTCTTCAAGACATATTATAAGTCAGGGGGTGAATCAGCAAACCTAATATATGAGTAGACCGACCCTATGATAGATTTGCACATCAAAGCTGCCAGAGAGCTCCATACACCTCCGGCTGCGGTAAAACTACAAATCCCATGATGCATCTCTGCTCTTGCACCATGGAGTGGGCGGGCCCCCGGCTGTTTACATCACAACGTAACCCAAACGCACATTTACCCCGTTCATGAGGTGTAAATTATGTTCATTGACATCTGTCTTGGTGTTAGCAGGGAGGAGTTCATCTGAACCCTTTTCATTTCAGTCCCTCCGGAAGTGCCGGTATTTAAGGATCACCTGGCGGGCAGCACGGTGACCTGGGTCTATGGAGAGGAGTATCCTGTCACTTGCAGCATCAAGAATGCCAAACCGGCGGCAGTTCTGACCTTGACCAAAAGTAAGAATGACTGGGGGGGGGGCTTAGGGTTTGCTGGTTTTGGTGGCACGTGGTGAGAATAAGATCCGCTCCATCACCGCTGTCTATAGGCTCAATTCACACAAGGATATGTAGCTTTATTTTAGTCATGTGACTGCAATTCTGAGATCTTATTGGTCTCCGGAGAAAATAACTGTCACTTTTATTGAAAATCAGTCTCCTCCTGATGTGCTTCCTTGGTGAGTATTATGATACAATGTTTATTATAATGCAACATAAAGATCTCACGTCAATCCAAAACCAGATACAACGTGAAATGTGGATTCTCATCGTAACATTGTTACTTAACTTTTTTGAATCACAATTTAATCATAAAACGATTATAAGAGAGAAAAGGAACAGCAAAGTACTCCCTCAAAAGCCCACAGTCCTGATGCAAGCAGTGGGCTGGCTCATGGGAGGAGTTATGCAAATAGCACAATGCCTTGATGGGTGGGTGTCAGTCTGGAGGAGTGGGCTGTATGCGCATGCAGACATATGCACATGTGACGCTGAGCCTCCATAATCGAAAGACCTGAAATCCAATGAATGAAAGGGGCGGGGCCAGGGGCGGTCAGGCCGGGGAGGAAAAGCCTAGATGATGCTGGATGTTCTCCAGCCAGGAAATGAGGCGGAGCTCTATCTGACTTGGTGCAGCTTCTAATGCACATTGTGAGGAGCTCGCAGTGGGCAGTGACATCGGAGGAAGCCATTTCAGTCCAGGAGAGGAGGCGGTACAACCGTGCAAGACTGAAGGGGAGGACGGAGGTCAGATATAAGACTGAAAGGAAGGGCGGATGTCAGATAGAAGACTGAAGGGGAGGACAGAGGTCAGATAGAAGACTGAAGGGAAGGACGGAGGTCAGATATAAGACTGAAGGGGAGGACGGAGGTCAGATAGAAGACTGAAGGGAAGGACGGAGGTCAGATAGAAGACTGAAGGGAAGGATGGAGGTCAGATAGAAGACTGAAGGGGAGGATGGAGGTCAGATATAAAACTGAAGGGAAACCCAGTTTTATATCAGATAGAAGACTGAAGAGAAGGACGGAGGTCACATATAAGACTGAAGGGAAGGCCGGGGGTTCAGGTGAAGGACCGGCCATTGTATAAGGGGGCCTGGAGGGACACCTACTTTAGGAGAGGTACAGAGTGACTCTACTGCCCCCCAGTGGTGATACAAGTCTGATGTCTCTTCTTCATGTGCAGGTGGTGTAGAAGTCACCGTAGAATCCAGTAACAGTCCCGGGTCTCAAGAAAAGCTGGAGAATTCGGAGATAACAGCACAGTGAGTGAATGTGATATGGTGAAGCTTCAAAGTGAACCTGTCACTAAAGCCAAATGTCTTCTCTTGTTATGTGCGTGAGAAAAAACGGTGCTCACACCCCCTACTTACCCATAAGAACATGGATTCTACACGGTGTGCACAAATATTAGGCAAGTTGTATTTTTGAGGATTCAGTTCATTATTGAACATCCGGCGCTCTCCGTCCATCCAAAATGTTACTAAACCCCAAACCTGAGTATTGAAGAAAGTACAAGTGAGGATTTGGGTGTCTTAGGAGGATATTTGGGGGAGGACAATGATTGGGCGACTATCAGTGGGCGGGATTATTATACAACTAAATGGAAAAGGAAAATGTTCCGTCTCATAGTGAGAATAAGAAACAAACAACCCAAAACGTACAAATAAACATTTCTGACATTTTCTAAAACAAAATCAGTGACCAGTACAGCCAATCCCAGTCCTCAGCCTCCCATCCATGGAGTCTGTCAGTCCTCAGCCTCCCATCCATGAAGTGTGTCAGTCCTCAGCCTGCCATCCATGAAGTCTGTCAGTCACCAGCCTCCCATCCATGGAGTGTGTCAGTCCCCAGCCTCCCATCCATGAAGTCTGTCAGTCCTCAGCCTGCCATCCATGGAGTCTGTCAGTCCTCAGCCTCCCATCCATGAAGTCTGTCAGTCCTCAGCCTCCCATCCATGAAGTCTGTCAGTCCCCAGCCTCCCATCCATGGAGTGTGTCAGTCCTCAGCCTCCCCTCCATGGAGTCTTGTCAGTCCTCAGCCTCCCCTCCATGGAGTCTTGTCAGTCCTCAGCCTCCCCTCCATGGAGTCTGTTAGTTTCTTCTGCTGTTGACAGTCAACTTTTTGTGCAGCAGCGACCACGGCCCCCCAGACACTGTTCGGAGAGCTGCACTGTTCTCCTTCACCATAAATCTCCTGTATAAGAAGGGCCCACAAGTTCTCAGTAGGGTTTAGGTCAGGTGAGGAAGGCGGCCATGTCATTATTCTTTACTGGCTGGCCACGCAGTGGAGGACTTGGATGCATGCGATGGAACATTGTCCTGCATACATATCACGGTCAGACTTTTGCCTGGACCACGGCTTGAAAAAAGTGTCTTCTAGGAACTGGCAGTAGGTTTGGGAGTTGATTTTGAGTCTCATCTTCAACCCGAAAAGGTCCAACTAGCTCATCTTTAATAATACCGGCCCACCAGTACCCCACCTCCTCCTTGCTGGTGTCAAACTGGAGCTCTGTGCCCGTTACTGATCCAGCCACCACGGGCCCATCCATCTGGTCCGTCCAGAGTACCTCTCATCTCATCGGTCCATAAAACCTTTGTGAGATCCGTCTTCAGATATTTCTTGGCCCGGTCCTGACGTGTGCTCAGTGTTGGTCGGGTTTCCTCACCTCGGCCATGTCTCTGAGCACTGAACACCTGGTACTTCTGGGCCCTCCAGGCAGGTTGCAGTTCTGGAATATGACGGCGCCGGAGGGTGACGGCTTCCTGGGAGCTTCACGTTTCATTCTTCTCAAATCTTTGGCAGTTCATTTGCGTCTTTCTTTCTCAACACGTTTCTTGCAACTCTGATGACTATTCGCAACAAAACGTTTCATGGTTCTGTGATCGCGCCCCAATATCTGAGCGCTGCACCCCTCTGAAAGACTTTTCACAGTAAATTAAATCTCTTTTTTGGCATATTTTACCTCCTGAGGAAAAGAAGCTGCCTAATCAATATGCACACCTTGATATTGGGTATTGATCTCCTAAGGCCACACCTCCCACAAATACACATCACCTGATATGCTGACATCCAATAAGCCTTCAAGCCTATACAGAATGGAGTTTGGACAATATGCATAAAAATGGTGATGTGGTCAACATACTCGCTTGCCTAATAATTGTGCACACAGTGTATATTGTAAAACTAAAGACTCAAAGTCAGCTTATTTGCAGCTACACTATATGGCCAAAGGTGGATGGACACCTGACCATCACATCTGCCTATATGGCCAAAAGAATGTGGACTACCCACCATAATGGAGTCCAGGTATCTCAGTGAAGGTTCTGTTAATACTACGACATTGTAGATCATTGTGCTCTTCCACCCTTGTGGTTACAGTTTGGTGAAGACCCTTTTCTGTTCCACCATGACTGTCCCCTGTGTATAAAGCCAGCTCCATAAAGACATGGTGTGACCAGTTTGGTGTGGAGGAATTCAAGTGTCTTGCACAGAGCCCTGACCTCAACCCTACTGATCACCTTTGGGATGAATTGGAATTCTGATTGTGAGCCCGTTCTTCTCATTCAACATCAGTAACTGACCTCACAAATGGGTCCAAACTCCCACAGACCCCCTCCAAAATCTAATGGAAAGTCTTCCCAGAAGAGTGTAGGATGGTATAGCTGCAAATGGGGGCCATATTAATGGTCAAGGTTTGGGAATGGGATGTCCAATAAGATCATATACAGTAGGTGTGAAGGTCTGGTGTCCAATGTTGTTTGGCCATGCAGCATGTGTATAATGTTGCATGCTTGTTAATAAGCTATGATCTATGATTTGAAGTTGGGTTCACTTTTAGAATTGCCATTGCCTAATGTTTTTCTTCTACCACAGAATCATTGCGCAAAGCACGGATAACAGGAAGCTCCTGGTCTGCTCCGCCTCCAATGCAGCCCTTCAGATGCCACTGATCGTGAGCTTCACCATGAATGTGCTATGTGAGGAAATACTATACTGTACCCACATATCATCGCAGTACCCACCATTCCTTCTGGCAAACATAGGTTAAGGGGCAGGATAGATCACAGGAGCCAGGTCGTCCCCGTGCCTAAAGATGGCGGCTGGTGCCTAACGTTTTTGTTTCGCTTTTTTCCCCGCTGCCTGTCTTTTTCTCTAAAATAAGCATAAAACAATGATTGAGGGGGTCTTTTGACACCCCAGGATAGGTGAAATTGCCTTCTGTAACCCTTAGTAGCCATTTAAAGCCCATTGTACAAAACAAATTGAACAAGCTTTCATCTTTCTTGTGGACTACAACAAAATTTACTAAAATGTTTGCCAACATTTTGGTCAAAATTGGGGGTAAATTATAACTCTTAATTTCCCTTAGCCCTAGTCTTGAGGGATATAAGGGGGCTTCCTGCTGACCTCATTCTAAAAATACTACTAGGTATTCTGACCCAGAGGCTACAATAGGGTCCAACGGACTGACCCAGAACACACGTGCAATATTGGGAGAATAAAAGAAAAGTCAGATATATACCCTGTAGTGGCTGATGCAATAATAGAGAAGGTGGATAACAGTAAGGAAAGAGTCGTGGTCCAGTCTGCAGTCACTCCAGGCATTTCATGCACATCCCCAACAGTTTCCTGTTGTATGCAGTGGTGTAAGTGTTTAGCCAGACACACAGAGTTCAGGCAGAAGGTATCCACCTAGAATGAGCCATAGTATGACAGTTCTCAGGATATGTCTTAGGTGACCACATTCTGAGATGTGGCTCTGGTTCGTACACAATATGGGTGCCATGGCATTGATGACCCATACAAATTCCAGGCCTCTTCGTCCCTGTTGGTAGTTTTTTCAATGTGTACAATGTATTTCTTGTCACTGATCCTCCGCATCTCTGTAGTTCCCCCTGACACCCCAACCATCGACGGCTACGAGGGACCCACTATAAAGGCAGACGAAACGTTGAAACTGACCTGTACGTCTATGAGCGGGAACCCTCTGGCGACTTTGCAGTGGCTGAAGGTTGGTTTTCTATGTATACTATCTGGTTCATTTGTGCCCTTTGAGAGATAGAACGATGCGGAAAGTGTGTCAAGTAGTCCAAACAGAATAATTCTCACTATTGTGATCTGATGAATGGGAACTTGTTAGCTCTGGGCTACTTCTTATCAATTTGGTCAGTGTTTCCCTTCTCTCTTCCAGAATGAAGAAGTTGTGAACACGCGCTGGGAGACGGATTCCAAGAAGGGGTTATCCAGGAGTCACCTGACCCTTAACATCAAGGCGGAGCATAACTTGGCCGTCATTAGTTGCGAGGCCGTCAATCATGTGACGCCCATGGTCCTCCGGACCAGTATCACGCTCAATGTCGTGTGTAAGTCATCTAGTTCAGGCCTTCTTAAACCTTTTCCACTCGTGACCCCTTTTCGCCAGAGGAAATTTTTACGTGACCCCATGAGTCTCTCCCCCGTCGCTCGGAGTTTCTCTCTTCCTCCCCAAGCCATCAGCATCGGTTGGTGTCTCTCTCCTCCTTCATCCCCCCTGCATCGTTCGGTGTTTCTCTCTGTGACGGACCCCCGTACTCAGGATGAG